ATCCGTTCATTTGGGACGCCACTATAATTTTCTGCAATTATTATGGCACAACCGTCGCGGTGTGTTACGATGTACAAAAAACGGATCTACACATGAGTCATGCAAATCATACAATAAACATACACACACACATTCTAAACGCAAAACAAATCTGGTTGAAAATAATTGAAAACGAATCGTATTCATAAGTTCACATATACGGTTTAAAAGGTATCGCTCATCAATGACATAAAATGATTCCTGATACAATCGCGTTACAGATATCGTTTCGATTATAGAAATGTTCACATATTATCGTAAATTATCATTTTTATGATTAGATAAAAAAAAATGCAATAAAATTATATTGATATTTTTAGTACGATTCGTATGTGAACGGAATAAATGTAGATTCGGGATATTAAGACTCAATGGTACAGTTAACGATCGTATCTATACTAATAATTTCAAATAAGTATTGTTTGCATAAAAAATTAGAACAACTAAATGAGTCGTATAACAGTTATGCGCTTAACGTACAAGCGATATAAACGGTGTATTATTAGAGTGCGTTTAGTGATCCAGTTATTGATCGCCATGAAGAACACATACTTATTATTATTAAACTTTAACTGTGACCTATTTTATTCATATCACATAATTTTTATGCAGTAAGTTATTTAGATTTTCTCTACATAAGTAAATAACATAAACAAATTGTTCATAGTCGATATAGGGATGTTGTGGAAGGTGTAGCTTCTCGTAGTAGTTTTGAATGTATTGAATACATAATGAAATCTGCTTATATGATATTTATCCAAAATGCGCGAAAAAAATTTGACTAAACAGATAACTTAACTCGAAGAATCTCGTGCACCCATGCTCAGTATGGATACTATAACCATAACATATATATAACTATTTACATTTTATTTGAGAACAAACTATTGCGTTATTATTACTTTCGTTGAAAAACTATAATTTTTAAACAATATATTATGTGCTAAGCATAAATCTCATGTTTTATTGAAAACGTTTTTCTAAAAATGCAATATGACTATTACTACTAACAGTGTTGGGCGCATCGTGTTAGTATTTATTTACTGGTGAACAATCGGAAAATTAAAATAAAAATACAAAACGAGTCACATTCCATTCTGTAATTGCAATTTACAATATTTCAGTAATATTATCACTACAAGCTTATCGGTTTAATACATTTTAATCATTTTCAAGTATCATATTGCGTGTTTGTTTAATCTACAATCCGAGTAAGACATAAAAGCTATTCAATAGGTACATTTTATTTCCCACAAAATATTACACCATGAAATTAACTATTTTTAAAGTGCATTTATCATTTTTATTTCACCGGAAAACGTGATATATCCAGGAGAAAACTAATTAATTTTTCCTCTATGCACTTAAGGGGAAACACCCTAAACAATTTGAAACTCGAAATTCTAATCACATACGAGTAAATATGCATAGTTTAACTTATTGAGTTTGACGAATATGATATTTTGCGATGTATAATTTTTTTAGTTGTCATCTCTTATCAATCTTTATAATAATTCACAATTAATTCACATATATATATGTTACCGGAAAAGATGACAATCAGTCCGTGTTGACAATGACTAGTCAATAACTATAATGCCTGATTTAGTAAGGAATTAATGTCAATACCTAGTCATTGATAACAATTCATAATAAAAGAAGGCATTGATAATAACATTAAACATTAATTTAATATATTTTAATACTTATTAGCTATTTAGGATAAATCATAATCTTAATCTTTATTGTTACGTGGTAAATTACTATGACACTTGGAATTATATAATCTAGTACAGCGGTACCCAAACTGTGCTCCGCGAAGCCTTTGGTGCTCCGCAATGGTTTGCCTAGGGCTCTGTTCGTAACACCATAAAAAATTTAAAAAAATGTTCGTCATTTAAAATTAATATATATTTCATGAAGACTTGAATGTTCCATAATCAGATCGATCACCGATAAAGCGGTGTTGATATTTGTTTGAATGCGGATTTATATCATTGCCTAATATAATACGGAAATGTTGATAAAACTACGAAATATCCAACATTGCCTAACCTTTCCAGTCATTGTCAACAATGACTAGGATATACTGACAATTCCTGAAATTTCATCTTTTCCGGTAACATATACACATATAAATTCACACATATTTTTACACACATATGTATTTGTGAAGTAAGAATTCTAAACGACACTATAGGTGAAGTTTTCTGTATACAGTTTACTAAAGAAAACGAATAAAACTACTTAACAAAAACGAAACTATACATTAGGAAGTATACTCGTAATGATGAAGTGTAGAAGTTTATTAACTAAATTGTTTTCTAAAACTTCAACAATAGCTCTGAACCATGTTGTAACGAATTGGCAAATGTGCAACTTTATATATCAAATTTGCCACAACGATGGTCTTATATCCGGACTTCCAGAAATCGATCTGTTGCCACGTAATGATTCCTACCATTAAGATAATATGGTGCCTGTTCATTCATACTGCACCGACGTCGTATCGAAAATATTATAAAAGCATTTTTGCTACACCGATTATTCAAATAACTAATCTGAACGTAGTAATAAGATTTTTTTATTTTCTAATATCGTCCACGATATACGTTTGATAATAACTATTGTAGTTTTATAATTTTTAATATAAAAATACATAAACTCATATTATTTTTAACTTTATCGATTATTAGATAAATGTAATTTAAAATATTCTTTACATTGGTTTACAGTAAAATCAATAATTGATATTTTTATATTTTTTTTTTTTTTTTTTTTTTTTTTTTTTTTTTTTTTTTTTTTTTTTAATTCGAAATTGTTTTAATTCTTATAAAAATAAATAATTTAACTTATAAATGTTAAAAAGTTTGTATTCATAAAATCATAAAATATGCAAACAGATGAATTGAAATCGAGTGTACCTGACACCAAAAACGCTATGTTTTTTTTTCGTAAGTCTCTGTAAACAATTTATTATTATGAAGAACTTTTACTTGCTATTTTTTTCATAGACTTATAATTTTATTAGTCAAATTATTTAAAATAATTGGTCAATTTATCGGCATCTATTAAACTTTTTTAAAAAAAAACAGCCAACCACTAAAATATGATTGTTTAGAAAGCAAAATGCAAAAGCTAAATGTAGGGGTCAAGTTAGCAGCTGACTTATTATTTTTTAATTTTTTTATTGTGTGGTGCTTCTTACAAGCATTTGAACACGAAATAATTGTTTCTAGCACCACCGAAAATTCGTCCTTAGTTATGACATTCATTTTTATATATTATTGCCTATTATAGTCCCAAGGCATGATAAACAACGGGCCGACGCTTTGTTATAAATATATATATTGTGAGGTATTTCCAATATGAGTGATCGAGTAAAAACTAATTTACACCAAGAAGCGATCGTTGCGAAAAGATTATCAAAAATCGGCATTTCGTAAAATTCTATTCACATGTATATAACAATACAGTATCACACGTGACCGTCCATGGTTTTAAATTAAAACTAATCGAAAATCATATTGTTAATGCTCGTCAGACAATAACATTTACTACAATTCTTGTAGTATCCTATTTTAGATCCTGAGTGAAACGAAGAATGCGGTTGTTTTACATTTATACAATATATTTCTGAAACGGTAAATAATTTTTTAATTATAGCGGACAGATCCGTTAACGACGACTAATTCGTTTTTAATTTACCGATTATAAATCTGAATGCCGTAAATGTGGGGATGACCCTTATTTTATAGGTGAAAAAAAAGATAAATCATTTAATCGAGCACTCCGTTCCCTCCACATTTTGTTCAGTACTTCATTTCCGTTCAATTTTTTAACAATACTATACTCCATTCAAGTGCCTCAAAACGATTGGAAAATTAATAAAAAGGGTAGTCATACTAGTTTTTGAATTTATTTAAAAAAAACTTCAAAAAATTATAGCAATTACATTAAAATGTATTATCAGTTGTAAAATAAAAAATGTTCTACCTTTAAAAATTATTATATTACTTTACGACTCCCGGTATGATTTAATATACACAATATTTTGGGTAGCCTTTATTTTATGGACTGTAAAAACTCTATAGCTTTCCGATAAAATCAACAAAGTACATAATAATTCATTTGCTTGGACTCTGGAGAAGAATGTAGTATTGATTTTTCGGAAAATAATAGAATTTTTACTGTTCATAAAATAAGGGCTAACCTAAATATTGTGCATATTCGACCATACAGTAATCGTAAAACAACATTATAATATATACCATAAAAATATAATGTAGCATAACGTTCTAAACATAAGTTTCGAAAGATAAGCAAATCATATCTTCAGAACGTTTGTTCGTAGCCTATTGTATCCTATAATAAGTATCTACATACATTTACTGCTTACACGTAAAATTGAATCGCATGAAATCTTTGAAATAATTCGTTTTACACACGATTCTGATTTGCTTGCCACAGTAACTATGGGATAATTGGTGCTGGTACGTTAATAATAATATAGTTTCTTATTAAAAAGTATGGTCTTCAATGTTCACACGTTATCTGTGAACTATAAATTATAATAATATAGATCAGTGATAGACAACTGGTGATCCGTGTACCATTATCATCCTTATTCGTCATGGATTTTAAAATGCAACACTTTAATATTTGAGAATACAAATTAATGACAAAATGTTAAAATAACGCTTACCAAAAAAATATTAAGGAACTAGTGTAATACCTATAAAAATCCGGAATCCAACTAGTGTAGTATCTATAAAAATGCAGGATCCAACTAGCACACTACTTGAGATTAGCCTCTAGTACTCGGAACCCAACTCGGATGCTCCGCAATATTGTACTGCTGTTCATTTATTGTTACCAAGAAGTCAAAAGTACTTAAGAAATTACACACAATTTACTCAAAATAATGTAATGTAAATAAATATTGTTGTTCTTTTTTACAGACATGACAACGGCTCAAATTGAAGCCGAAAACACTCAAATGACAAATGATCTTTACCGACTTTTAAAGAAATATACTGGATTAAGAAATCTAATAAGAGAACTCAAGGTGAGTTTATAGTGTTTCAAATTATTTAATAAAAAGTTTAAAGAGACACGCACTTTTATTCGTATGTCACAAATATGATTATCACAAATTCTTATGTGTAGTTTTACACTTGAGATGAATAGCGACTCATATGACGAATTACATTATTTTTTTGTTCTTAAAACTGAACAAAATATACTTTACTATTTTATTCATTCAACCACTAATTATAGTACCTAATGTAATTGTTATAGGTTATGTATTATTTTCTTCGGTCGAGATTATTATCGATTATAAATTATCATTATTAATATATTATTTACGATTGTTTGATATATGAAATAATAAATTATATTTTCACATTTATATAAATTCTGAATTGAATAGCTCGGCCGAACAACGAGACAAGCACCACTTTACAAACACATATACATGTGACGTGGTTGATATTTACTTGTAGGTCATTATTCCACTCAGTTTTTCGCAACCATATATTATTATTTTATATTATATTATTTACCTTTTTGAAAATAATATTAAATAATATGGTGATACATACCACTTTTTTACCTTTTTAAAATATTATTAATAATAGTTTTGTTCCGCTTATCTAAACTAATAATATTTTACCTAAATCAAGCCTCAAATTATTTTTAAAAATTATTAAATACATTTTCGTATCCGTTAATTGTCACATATATCTTGACGTTCTACTAATAAAACCGTAATTGAAAAAATGGCGCTTGTCTCGTTGTTCAGTCAGGCTATTCAATTCACGAGATGCTTTTTCCGTTTATATTTTTTTTACTCTAACATTTCTAACTTGGCTGATTTATCCTTCTGCAGGTAGAATATGTCAACTCAAAAGTATACCCGATATTTCCACGTTACAACATACTGAAAGACTTAATAAAGGACATCATGCATCATCAGGAATACATGGAAGTTTGCCATGAAGTCGATGCCGTATAATGTAGAACCCCAAAGGGTTGACACAAGCTTTTATACGTACGCGTATAAATTAAGTAAAAAAAAAAAAAACAAATATACATACATGCATTTACTCGAATTTATAACTGACAACAAAATCGAACTGTGTGTATAATATAATTTTGTGTGACTATGCACGTGTTTGTGTATGTGTATGTGTGTGTGTGTGTGTGTGTGTGTGTGTGTGTGTGTGTGTGTGAGATATGTATGTGGTGTGTGTGTGTTTTCATGCGTATGTGTGTGTGTGTGTATAAGTCAGAGTGTATGTGTGTTTTCTATCTGAATCGTGCCAACCTTCTATTTATTTTTACGTTTCATTTTTGTGTACTTTTTACTATATAAAATTATGTAATTTCACAAAGTTCTAAAATACCGAAGAGTGTGACATTCAATTTAATTGCGTTTACCGTATGTGACGGAATAAATCATATGCCCCGCGGTTCTCACAAAGAACCGGTTCATTTTTCGAACATTTTCCCTTATTTTTCATTGCTATATTATTAAATTATATTAATAGGATGATAACTGAATAAAAATATATTATTAATATATATATAATAAATTACCAATTAAATAAAATCATATTATATAACTTATGAAAATGATTAATTATTTGTACGCGATTTATTCAAATCCTGTAACCATATTATTATTATAATTATTATTTTGTTAATCTAACGCATAAAAATATAATGTATGTTAACATTAAGCCAAACAAAACTATTAAGTCTGTACCATATACAATCGAAATTTCCGTGTTGATGTGTAACGTTTTGCGGTATAATCATATTATATTTTAATATTAGGAATATTTTATTCGGAAAACAAAAAAACGCTTAACCATTTATATGACACACATACACACACATGCACACATACACATACATATATACATATTATTATTGTGATCTTCCATGCCATTGGACGTTTTGATTTTATATGCATAAATAATATATCGTTTTACTATACGGATAATGGTACTACGCAAAAATACGTGTACATGCTTCTCTCTAATGGCTTTTTCACTCGTGCGCCCCGTGTAAATACATTCTGTAAAAAGAAACCCTCACACTCCTCTAATCATCCCTCTTAACGTGGGCGACTGCGGTGGTGGACTATTGCTTGCTTTCGCGGATTTAGGATTTCACCGCAATGCAAATATCGTTGTTCGGTATGGGAATCCCCTGCCCGTTAACGACACACAAAGCCACGACGATGATGTGCCGACGAATAAACGGGTCGGTTCGCCTACCCGTAGCCTTCGGGATTTCCACTTGATTCGCATTCGAACACGTGTCCAGAATCCAATTAACGTGTCCTAATATAATATCAATAGGATGCTTAAACCCAAACCCCGCCTCGTAAAATATTTGTAACAACGTTTCTGTCAGCGGAGGAGACGATGATGTTTTGATTGCAATCACGCCGGAAACAAACGCGGCTTAGGCCACTAAATGTGCTCATTCGAGTTGTACTAGGGTAACTCACAGCTATCGTGTTAATGTGTTAGTGCCAAAGGTTAGCAAGTAAATTCCATTAGATTTCAGGAGATTTTGGAAAAAAACTATAAAGAAACGGTCCTGGAAAAAAAATATATTTTTGTTTTATTTATTTATAATTCCTTCTTTCTTAAATAATTAAAAATTCAAATCTAAAAAATAACATCCTGTTCTTAAGTGTCTTAAAAAGGTGGTTCTTTAAACCAAGTCAGTCAAACCATAATATACCACCACCACCATCACATTCACCTATTGTAAATACTAAGTACATATTACGTATTTAATTAGTAAATGTTTAAAATTAAATAGTTGTATTTAAAATGTTTTCAACGAATTACAATACTAGATAAAAAAATTTACGGAGCGCAATTTATTGCGATAAATAGAATAGAACATAATTTTTTTCTTTTTTTCTTTTATCTATCGTGATAGAAAATTATTCAAAATATGCAATTACATTTTTGGCCAGTTTCCGACTACTGCTTTAATTGTTTGACTGTTACGAACACCATATCATTATCGTGAACAATCAATCGCATTCGATGCTCCCGTCGGTCATGGAAGCGTTCGAGTGCTAATTTTCTTTTTGACTTCCAAAATCCGCTTGTGCCGCTTCATCCGCTTTCAGGTCGTTCAGCCAACCGGACGATTTACGCGTATTCCCCAGCCCTGTTTGAACTTTCGCAAACAATTTCTACGACTTTGAACGGGCGCGATATCTCGGACTGCCTGCAGAAAACCGCCAGACAAACATCTCCATCGCAAACCATATTCGTTCGGCGTTTGTACCGAACCAAATTTATTCATCGTCAAAATGTTTACGCTTAAAGAAAACGCTTTCTCTGTGTATCGCGAACGCACAGAACACCCTACGCAACATGCGATTCGTGGCGATCAAAATCTGGACCACGTAATTCGCGCGATTCGACGAGGTAGATTTCCATTATTAATCTCACTAAACCTGTAACCGTGCGAAAACATTTATTTTAAATTCTGTCCCACAGCAATATTATTGTCGAAAATCCATCCGCTTTGCTGAGAGTCGTCCTCGTTAGGTTATCATTTTTTCGTTAAAACAATATTATCGTAGAAACATTGTTATCGATCAAAAACATATCGGTATTTTTCTTCTTTATTTGTAAAAAAAAAAAAGAAAACTAATCCCCACCCCCACATGTGTATCGCCGTACAGTTGTTTCATTAAAAGTGATTCAAAAAAATAAATTTAAAAAAAAAACATCTTAAAAACGTTTATACTTAAAATGTAATTAACATATTATATTAATGTGTTTGTACACAAATTTTTGTTTCATAATATTTCTACTACACGACTGTCATTGTTGGTTATATTGATAGTAATACTATAATATTTTGCTTAATTTCGACTACGTATTTGCGTAAAAATTACGCGGTATGCCACACGTAATATTAATGTAAAACTTAAGCGGTAAAGCACGATTGAGCATAAAACGATTGAGCATAGACCTTTTTAGCAACACGATTGAGCATAGAATATTTTATGCGACGTTGCCACATTCACGTTGCCAAAATTTTGTAATTTATTATTTTCTCGTATTATTACACCAATTATTATGATATCTGACGCGAGCCGTGAGCTTTATCGGCTTTATAAATTTTATCGACAATGTTATCGATTAATAAATTAGTTCCGGAGCAAAACGACGTTTTAAACATTTAGCATCGGGGGAAAATATAAGATAATTAAGATACAAATCCAAAATTATTATAGAAATAATATCAGTGTTCGATCACCTGTGTAGTGTATAGTGCGTGTATACTTAGTGCGTTTTTCTATTTTTTTAAAATATGGATATAACAATTATTTTATCGGAAAGAGGCAAAGAATTGGCCCTAGTTAATTTATACAAGTATAAATTAATTGGAGAGCGAAAAAAAGACAATCTTTTGAGATGGAGGTGTACTAATAATAAATGTTCGGCAATAATGTTCTCGGGTTTCGATAAACGTAAAGTGATTGAAACTGCTGGACAACATAATCACGATAAAAATTCTATTGAGAAAATAGAAACGCAAGTTTTAAGAGAAAATTGCAAAAGAAAAGCTGAAGAATCAATTTACACACGGCCACTTAAAATTATTCGCACCGAACTTTTAAATTCTTCTCCAACATCAAATTTAAACAATCAAAATGTAAGAAATGTACGGAAAGCAATGTATGATAAACGGAAGCAGACCTATCCTAAATTACCAACTTCTTTGGATGAAACAATTCATCAATTAAGTGACTTAAAAAATGAAGAATGTTTTAAATATAAGGGTCAACAATTCATTTACATGCCGACTGATGATAATTTTGTATGTTTAACTACAGAACAAAATCTACAATTTATGACAAATAATTGTACTGAGTATTTTGGCGATGGCACATTTAATTATTTATACTACTATCATAAGTATTTTCATGCATATTAAATATTGACTATGAAAACATGATATTTTTTTGTCATGTTATATTTTGATTTATTATAATTATTTAAATAAATGTTTTTATACGATACAGTTCAAAATTGAAAATGGCAACGTTGCAGAGTTTTTTATGCTCAATCGTGTTGGTTTTCTTTTGTATTTCAATTTCCTTTGATACGCCGACAATTTATGCTCAATCGTGTCGCAAAAAAGGTGTTTTATGCTCAATCGTGTCGCAGCCAACTTAAGAGCTAAATCGTTTAGGATGTAGCGGATTGTAAACGTGGTCTTTTTTTCTTGCGTTTTATGTAAGAAAACACCACTTAGTTGTTTTTTTTTTTTTTTTTTGTTTGGTTATGCTTGTATATAATATAATGTATCGTTCAATGTAGGCGAACAATTTCTCGTATAACATGCATAGCGTATAAGCTGTTTAGTATAACATTGTTATCTCCTCAAACTATTAATTATTGTTATTTATATTGTTAAGTTTTATCAATTTATATAATATCTTATTATACTACTACTTATAGTAATTTTTTATTATTATTATAATAATAGCACTTACAATTTATATAGCGTTAGAACACTAATTCAAAATAATAATATACTATAATGATTTTATATAATATTAGAATAATGTTAGACCGAATGTACAATAGGTACATACGTACAATAGGTAATATTTTAATATTAAATATATATAGATTGTAGGGGTTTGATAATATAAATAGTTTGTAATTTTTTTTTTGTTATTTTTTCGGATCAAATCATTCTATATGGAATCATAATCATCGATTTTTTTTTTTTTTTTGGTTTTAATCGAGACAATAACTTTGAACGATACAAGCCGAATACATTTTACAATCAAACGATGATCATACGAATGAATTAATAATAATAATGAATCCGAAAAATGACATAACAAAAACAAAAACGAATATCCCGTTTTGCACAAATTCGTGTGCAGTTAAAATTTAATTTTAAAATAATATTATGCAATAACAAAATATTTTCTTACACTTGTATTTGTTTTTCGGACAAATTAACCGTGTTCATTTTTTTTATGACGTCGCTTTTTTTAAAATTACATTTTATCCGTTGCTTA